AAATAAACATCTCTTCCTTTAAGTTGTAGGTGTTGAGTATTTTGTCCTAGAGACTAAGACAGATTTTAGTATAAGAGAAGTGGGGTTCTTGTTGTGGCTGTACCTGATCACGTGGTTTAGATATTTTTGGAACTGGTTTTTAGGAAGAGTTTGGAATGATCTGGCTAGAGAAGTCCTAAAATACTGTAAGTCATTCTTGAGGGAGATCTTGTCAGAACTCAGAAGGCCAGAACACTGATATGCAGACTTTAAGGGCCATGCTCACTAGATTTCAGTTCAGAGCAAGGACTCCACTTGCAGTTGACCTTGAGACCATGTGTGTTATGTTGTGGCAGAAAATTTCTGAGCATTTTGTCCTTGTCCTGAGAATTTGTGGGAGACTGAAGTTAAAGGTGTAGAACAATTATTCTAGTTGGGGAAATTTTATGTCACCTCAATGTTCAGTGTGGTATGGGTCCTGGTGTTGTTGTTGCAGGCAGCCAAATTAGATAGAAATATTATAGACAGTCAGATAGGGCTAGGCGCTCGAAGGAGATAACACAGAAGACAAGATATCTTGCAACTGTGGGAGGGATGGATGTTCCTGTTTGTGAACCAGACCAAAAGATCAAAGATCAAACAAATGCCAACCTCCCTAAAGACTGGCATCCAAGATTGATCATTACCCTGAGGGAGCCAGAAGAATCATTAATCCAACTACTGCTGGATGGCTACATGATAAAGTCCTGTTCTACATTCATGCCCACTTGCTACATGACTTGCTTCCCCATTTGGTCCTGGACTTAATCAATTTTACCTGAGCAATGGTGCTTATAATCCCATTGGTTGACCATAGTTTTGTCCCACCCCACATCCACCTAAGCGAGTTCCCATTTTCTCCACCTTATCCCCACATAGTTTTACATTGTAAAACTCCCTGGAAGAGACAGCTTCCTAGGGACAACCTGCTCAGGGGGCCCCCTTCTATTCCTCTCTCAGACAGGAGTTTTCTTTCTCTCAATAAATATATTCTGCTCATAACCTCCATTTGTTCCTAAAATTCATTCTTCAGTTTTAGAGAACATGAACTCGTCCAGGTCAGGCCAAGAGATCATTTTTCCCCTATATCATTTGGAGGTTCCCTGTATTATTTGGAGGTCACCCACCCACCTGAGGTCCGTTTTTTCCCTATATCACAATGACACATGAAAAACCAGATTTGCAAGTTTTGGAGGAGGTTGAAAGTGAATCATCAAATATTTCATAGATGATGAAGATGATAACGATTTTGACATTCTCCATGTGAGCCAAAGTTCCTATGACAGTGAAACAGAGCAAGAATCAACTGATACAGACAAAGGGATTCAGACCTTCTTGATTCAGACCACAAAGAAAACATCAATTAGTACATGTTTGTCAAGTAGAAATGGTACAAAGTGGTCATGCAAGCAAATGAAATGTTTTAATGTTAGAGCGCATTCTGAAAATGTGGTGAGGATGTTGGCAGGGGTGAAACCTATTGGATTGAATGCCAGCACTGCCATTCCATATTGGAAATTGTAACAGATGAAATGCTACAAGATATTGTGAAGTGCACAAATGCTGAAATGTAAGACATTCTATACGTACCATTAACCACACTCAAAAATGTATCTATTATGATGCTTCACAAGGTGAATATAAAGCAATCATAGCTCTGCTGTACTTAGCAGGGATTTCCATTAGTAATCCCAGGAATGTAAGAGACTTATGGAAAAGTGATGGGTGTGGTCTTGAGGTCTGAAGAACAATGAAGACACTGGGAGACATGATTTCCTTCAAAACTGCATGAGGTTTGAAAACAAAACCACTCACCAAAAAAGAGAAAGAAATGATAATCTGTCTATACCTGCTAATGATTCAAGAGATTTGGGGGTAATTGTCGACCCATTTACATATCATTTGAATACATGACTATTGAAGACATCCTGCAGCATTTCATGGTTGCTATAGCTTCAGTCAGTACACAATGGACCCTTGACTTACAAAATCGATTCATTCCTTGGGGCTGGTTGTAATTCAGATTGTCAGTTGCAGTCTCAGGCTCCCCTATTTTATTGAGATCTCATTTTCCTGTTAAGTACACCTTGTATAATATAGTAGGAAGCTTCTGGCAGAACAAGGGACAACAGAAGTGACAGGAATGACCTGCAACATAAGAAAGGAGAGTTAAGCATATGTGCTACCAGTGTAAGTGAAGTGTGTGGATAGAGCATGCAGTTGTCATAAACCATGCCTTGGGTGTGTGACAATTGAAGCAAATATTTTTTGTTGTAGTTTTATTGGTATTTTCATTGCACATAACATAGAAATTTATTTATGATGTTATTTTTCAGGTTTCATAAGCAAGTACACAGATACTCTGAAAATGTTGATGTTTATTATAAGTGCACAACACATATGAAGAATTTAATAATTTATTTTATTGATATTTTATGCTCTTGTTAGCTACACATTTTCTAATATGATAAGAATTTCCTGGGGCTGGCCAGATAACTCAGCAGATTAAAGTGCCTGCTTAGGCAGATGCAGAGGCCAGGGGTTCATTCCCCAGCATGCCATGCTGGCCCCACCCCTGGGGTGTGCTGAGACTGATTGACACTGGATGTGGTGGTGTATGCCTGCAATCCCAGCACTTGGGAGGCTGAAAACAGGAGGATCACTAAAGGTCCGATCTGTGTAGTAAGACCCTGTAGATCTTGTACTAAATACATTTAAAAAAAAAATCTCCTGACAAAACAGCAATCGCAGCAAGATGTCAATATGTCATACAAATAGGCCAGGAAAAAAAAAAACACACGTGCAGTCAGTATAAGCGATATGTGTGTATGGAATATGTTGTCATGTGTAAAGACTGCCTTAGGTGTCATCATCAAAGTAAAGATTACTTTTTGGAGTATTCTATTGGTATTTTCATTGTAGCTCATATAGGAATTTATTCTGATTTTTTTTTTAGATTTTGTACCCCAAAAAACAATGTTAAAAATATCTTTTTTATAAACACTCAAAAATATTAAAAATTTAATACTCTGTTAGTTGGTATTTTAATATAGTGTATTTTCATATAACAAAATATAATAAAACTCATTAATATAATATCAAAATATGTAGCAATATATAACTATAACAATATATAACAATCTGTTACATATTATGTGTTTATTATATAAAAATATTGCATATAATATATCACTATATAATAATATAATATAACAATATATTACAACAGAACATTGTTTAATATAATAAAACTCATAAAATTAAAATTAATAATTCATCAATAGACATAATCTGAAAATATAGATTTTTGTATACTCACAATAACATACCTTTATGATAAAATTGGTATTACTTCTTGAGAGATACCCAGAGAGCTGAAATTCAAGCACAGGATGGATAGAAGTTAGATAAGTTAAAAGAAATAATGGAAGAAAACATACTAAAAATCTGGCAAGATTTCTGGGAGTAGTAATGAGTGAGTAAATGTACTTTTTTGCATTTTTTCAAGGTATGCATTTCTTTTATCATTAAAAGTAAGTCAGTGACTATAATCTCAGATTTAAAGCTCACATTGAAGAGTTCACTTAAAAGAAAAAGAACTTGTTCTCTCTGGCTTTTCACCATGGTAGAACCTGAATCTTGGGATACATTAAGCGAGATCTTTGCCCAGTTCACTGAACTTTTACTGTGCCCAGAAATGTGCCTCTGTCTCTGCTGACTTCAGCACTGTTTTGCTTCTGATGTGCCCCAAGCAGGTCAAAGTCCACACTAAAACGCAGAGGTTTTTGCAACTTTCGTCAGTGCAAGCCTAGCCAGAATTCCCAAGCACCCTATTTCAGCGTCAAATGAAAAGAGCCTTTCTGCTTCATGGAGTCAGTTTCTGAAATAACTTTATTTAAAATAATTCTGCAAGCACGTACAGACACCTACTTTCGATTGCTCATCTCATTCCTCCTTCCTTCATTCACCTCTTTTTCCTATTTATTCAAACTACATTGCACTCAGCTCAAATGTCTTCACCTCTGCAAATCTCTCAGTCAGGGGTAGAAATCCAACTGAAAAGACCTTTGAAGGAAAGAAAGAAAGAATTAATTAATTAATTAATTAATGAGAAAATAAGAGGGTAGCTAGGGCAAAAGGCTTAAGCCTCATAACTAGGAAGTAGATCTAGCTTTAGGATTGGCTGAGCCAAAGGGTTCAGGTGATGTCATCTGAACCCCACCTCATACCTTTTGGCTCAATTTCACTTCTGCAGATTGGCAAAGGAGCAGTTGTGACAGGTGCTATTCACATTCTCTGAGTTTTGCAATCCCAGTAACTGTTTTTGTGTGACAAAGGGGAAGGCAGAGCTGAGGTGCTCTCCCACTGTCAACATGTAAATTCTGAGCAGGCTTCTATTTGACCCAACTTGGGTCATGTACTCATGACTGGCAGGCATGAGAAAGTAAAGTCCTGCGGTTGATAATTTGAGCAGATCAAATGAAATGAGGGAAGACAGATGCTCCCCAGAAGAGATAGGCTGGAAAGGGAAAAAGCACACACAAAAATCTTTTAAATAAGAGTAAAACCCCCAATTTTCTGCCTGTACAATATTGCTTGGCCATTGTTCTCATCAAAAAAGTCTATCTGTCCCTTAAATAAGGGGCTAGTCTTTGACCAACAGATTGCATCGTAAGTAAAGATGCATGAGATATACGCCAGTTCTAAGCCTTGACCTCAAGAGACCTTAGGCACATCTTTCTCACACTTGAAGAGGAGAGAGGTAAGAGAAACAGAGCCAAGCCAGCTCAGTTTTTCCAGCTGAGGGCCCAGGTACCCAGCCCACAACCCTCAGCCATCCATGAACGCAGGAGCAAGTGTCAGAGAGCTTGTTTTAGAGCCCAGTGCTCAGATGAGCTAACTACCCAATCAACCTGTTGATTCAGGAACACACCTATCATTGTATATTCTATTTTTTAATCTTTTATTTATTTACTTAGTAAAGGGTCTTGCTATGCAGCTCAGACTAATAGTGATCCTCCTGTACAGGCATGCAACACCAGGCACAGTTTTGGTGGCTGGTTCATCACAGGGCAGTACCAGGGATCGAACTTGGGTCCTTGTGCTTTCCAGGAAGGTGCTTATACTGAGCTACCTCTCCTGCCATATTATTGTACATTCTGAAGCTTCCTGTTTGTGATGTAACTGTATTGTGACAATGGGTAACTGATACATTTGTATCTACTATACATTTGTATCAACTGCAGATGTAGCCAACTGGGTCTGTCCCTTCACTAACTTACACAGAACTTAGTTGCATATCCCACCTAATACTGTTGCCAACTTTTATATTGAATTGTTACCATTTATTTTAAATGGCGATGGCAGTCTCTTTGTCTATAAATTCTTTGAAAGGAAGGACCTTTTTATTTATTTATTTATTT